CCACTGACTTCAAATTCATTTCACATTGATACTGACAAGGTGTATGTGGTGGAAGAATCTCCTTAAAGAAATTAAAGGCTGGAAACCAGTATTCTTCCAAGAAAGATTTTGTAGCACTCTCGAGTACATATCTTTTCCTCATCAGTTAGCATAAGTAAGTCTTTCAGATTGCAATCAGCCAGATTTCTCTTGGGTTCATCATCTGGTAAGTGGTCTGAAGACACAGGATTGAACACTATACTTGTAGCCACAGCATGGACACTTTTATTCTGGTGGTCAGAGCGCATTTCATGTACCCTAACATCCCAATCAATGTTATCAAGGACAAGCACAAATTTTCTGCCCTGCTTCAGTAATTCAACTGCACGATATAGGAAATGATGCCCTATTTCTTCTTGAATCGTATACTTCGTTGTTTTTGAAAGGCAAAAACCATATTTGTGGAGTCGATCTATCAGCTGAGGAAAAATAAAAATAAAAAGTAGACTATTCAGTATTAGGTTGTGGCTCATATTCATTCTTGGCTTGAGTGGAGAGTGGCAACTTTGTGAGGTACACCATTGAAATTAAAAACAAATAGAGGACCTAACAAATGGGATGACCCGGATTCGTGTTGTGGTAAAGTTCATATTGTCGAATAAGAAGACTTACGGATAAACGCAGACTACAATTAATTCCATGTGTACATATTTTTCCTCTTCTGAAGAAAATAGGTACTAGAAGGAGAGATATCGGATAAACGAGCAGGAAAAAAAATGTATGTACAAATTTACCTAATCTTGGTCATCGTCTTCCCAAACATCTCCGACAGTGGCTGAGTCCATCAAAGGTAGCTCATTCTGAAAGAAATTTGTCACCTTTAGAAAAAATACCTGCAACTCGGAAGCGGCAAAGAAACATCTGGGAACGTCGAGACGTAACTAAAAACAAATCTGCCAAAACACTATTGAACATAAAGTTGTTTACCTCTTTTCCTGGCAAAGACTGCATTTTTGTTTGTATCGTGACAAAATTTAGACCGCAACGGCTTCTTCCATCAGATTCCCTTGCACTCTCGGACAAGGTGCGTGGCACAGATGGCAATATTTCTGTGCATCGCTTCACTGTTTCAAAAGAGCTCTGGGTTTCGCTGATCACCGTTTTGAATGCAATATAATTTTTCAGACGTCTTTCACATACCTATATACCATAATTATTTCCCAGTCCGTAGGGACCGTCGTAACGTCTCGAAAATTGAAAAATAGGCATATTTTGTAACGTTGTAAAATATTTGATTCGCATAGTTAAGCCACAGAATTTATATCAGATTGCTTAAAAACCTTTCTAGTTTGCCAAGAAAGTTAGAATTTGCCCTCTCAATAAATTTGAAAAGGCGAATTTTAGCATATTCTGACCACTAGAAATCGCCATCGGCCGATGGCCGTAAATAACCTTGATTTAGACGCTAAGTTTTGGGATTTGGGACCTGGTTGACGATTCTATCCTACACAGCCGTTAAGTTTAGACCTTTATAGGCAAAAATATGCAAAAACCTCTGTACGTTTTCGATTTTTCAAAAGTTATGACCGTTTGAATCAGCACATGTACGAGCATTCGCGATTTTTTCGCCTACACCAAAATCGAACCACTGGAGCAGATTTCGTCATAAATACAGCTTACCCGCTTTGCAGCCCGGCTTCATGGCTCACTTCAGAATTTTTCTAATAACCAAATTGGTGAAATCCATGATAACTTCAACAAATAGCTACGTATTGCCTTCGAAAAGTAGGCAGCATCCATCGTGATTCGTGGTATCAAAACAAATGCCGGAATTGGCCACATTTCGCGGTGAATCACCCATTTAACATCGCTGCAGAGCTGAATTTTTTCCAAAATCAGAATATAAACTCTCCATGTCTGGAAGCTGAGGGAGAAATGAAGGTTTTAGGCTTCTGAAGTGAAGAAATAATCGCTTAAATTTAGATCCAGTTCGATGTTATACTGTTCTCACAAAGGTCCTCAGAAAGGTCCGCACAAAAGAGAAGACCGCTGATAGCTTGTGCCGTACGTTGTGTCATATGGTTTTGTTTTGTATCCCAAAGTAATATTTGGGCAGAAAAATTTTGGATGAAAAGAATAAATGCTTTTACCTGGAGTTTGATATCATTTAATTAATAAATAAATTTCAAATATCCTGAGCTTGCTTCTCTCGGTTCCGCGTCGATTGTGTCCACAGAACAGCAACCTGTCAATAGCCGGAGAAATCGGCTACCAACGTGTTAAAAACTTGACACATGCTTCGTATGAACAGATGTTATAAGTGTTGCTTTTGGTAAATTTTCAATCGATTTCATCAAAACATTTCACTGACTACTAGATATTATAATATATTACACTATAACAACGCTGTCAGAACTTGATATCGGAAGTAAAGGTAGTTTGTATCTGTAGAGCATATTCTACACTTCAGCCACCGTATAAGACATTGTTTACATAAGTCTACTGAGAAACACACTGACAATCACTAATCACGTCCGACAGTTTGTCTATGAGGATCTGTTTTTTGTCTCTCAATTTTACAGGGATCTCAAAATGACTACAGATGGGTCTCAACAAAACCACATTGAATTTCTGAAGTGTGTTATTGTGGTAACGTTCACAGAGGTCCTACGTATCGTAGCAGATTGGATGTGAGACTTTGATCTCTTTGTTAACTTTGTCTACAGGATCTTATCTCTCGGAATTTTCCTGGATGCATTGGATATCTTCCTCCTCATCCAGTGATATCCCGATCACACCCTGATCTTTTCGCCGCATTGCTGCTAGCCGAAAGAAAAAGCTCTGAACTTGCTTCTTTGTCAGCTACTGTTCTCTAGTGAACAAACGTGCATTTGATTCATTTTTCGCATTTCGCATGTCCACTGCAACTTGGGCGGGGTCGGCCTTTCGCCCAGTTCTTTCTCCAAGTGTAAACCGTGCCGTTAGGTATTCTTTTACCTTCTCTGAAAATCTAACGCTGCCCCTTGGTTTGCTTACGGCCCATCCTGTTCGTAAAGACGAGTGGGGCGAAGTATCCACGGGAGAAGTGAGTGGTGTACTAGAATCTAACGAACAGCTCGAACACTCGATACCAGCGGTAT